CATCTAGATATTTAATAAATTAAAACACTGGTAATGAAGGTAATATTTTCTTGTAGAATTCACACATAACTTAAATTGTTTCTCATTGAATTTTGGATCATCAATATTCTACCTTCATCGTTTTGGAAAAAAACGTAGTGCTAATAGTCACCATTTGTTGAGGAGTAATACCTGATAACACATGGTTATCTCACTTAATACTCATAATCCTAAAATAAATCTCTGTTTTGTAAATGGGGAAACACAGGAGATAGAACCCATATATTAATCAACCTTAGAAAACTCAAATTTCTTATACTTTTCAGCTTTCTAGTTACAGTTTGCCCACTATTCCATTAATCTTTTTGTAACACTTATTTTCCTTGACAACTCTCTTTGGTAAATATATGCTGCTATATAATCAATGTACCATACAGTTTACCTTTTAGTAATCATCCACCTATTTCTCTCCAACAACTCCCCTGCCCCAGCAATCACTATTTTCTGTTTATGGATTTGCCTATTTTGGACATTTCATATAAATAGAATTATATAATATGTGTTTTTTTGTGTCTAGCTTCTTTTCATGTCATGTAATATTTGTCTTCAAGGTTCATCCACATTTGTGCCATCTATCAGTACTTCATTCCCTTGTAAGTCTTTAATAGACTTCAGAGTTCCACAGTAGTTATATGGGACAGATTCTCCCAGTGTAATTGTTTTCCAGGTGAGCAGATAGAATCCTAGTGCTTTCTATTCTACCACCTTCCCCAAATCCTCTTCCAATAAGTCCTTTTAAAATTACTGAATACTATTACTTTTAAGAATCTGTTACATTCATTTATCCATTAATATTTGGAGGATATTTGGGTTTCCACTTTCTGGCTATCATGAATAAAATACTGCTTTATCCCATTAATATTTATGAAATATTTTCAAATTAGAGGGGGTTGGAGGAAAAATATTAAAGTAGGAGTTCTGAAACCTAGGGTCTACTTCTTGCCTTGGTAATAACTACATTCATTTGACAAAAATTCTTTAAATTCTTAAGTGAATAATTTTTTTTTTGTCATAGTGTTTGTCCTACGACCTGATCCTGAAGCAGTAGAAACATCAGGTCTTTACAATACATTCTATACTACAGGTAGGAATTGAACTCATTATTTTAATTCGTTTTAACCTTTAAAACGTTTACTTGGTTTATTCTAAGTTAATAATTTGTGTAAAGGTGCTCTCCATTATACCAAGTGATAGAATTTCTATTAATGAACAATTTAAAAATAATCCGAACATTCTAGATTTTATTGAGAAGTATTTTCACTTATTTAGGTCTTCTGTCTGCCTGGGAGTAGATAGCTCTTAAAATCCTGTCATTTCTCACTACAGTGTAAAATTTATCTTGCTCTCCTTTATATATAAAGGCATATAGGGGAGATTTGAGAAAATCGCAGTTGACCATTTTTGATATGCTTGAAAAATGGAAAAGTCCTATTTCCTTTGACACCCCTCTTTGGTAATTAAAATTTTGGTTTTCATTTTTATTTTTTTAAGCTGAGCTTCAAACACATAGTAATGAATATGCTTACCTACTAACGAAAACTGAAACTTTTTTCAAGTTAACGGGGAAGAAGACGACATAGAAATATACTTGTGGAAGTTGTCGCAATTTCCAAACGGGGCTAGGAGTTACCTACACGTAGGAGACTTCACCACTGAGACAGCAGCGTCCCGGTGCTGCGGCCAGGTGCTCTGCCGTCTCCACGGAAACCTAGCCGCATTGCACCTTTGCAGGCACTGGGATGAGCGCTGGCGTGGGCAGGGGTTTCCCGAGGTCCCACCTGCGCCTGCGCAAATCCATAGCGTCTTGTAGTAAGAGAGGCCCGGATGGAGGACGCGGAGGTGCACTGTCGCCATGGCAGCCAACTCCTGGCTGTGCAGCCGCCTCCTGGCTGTGCAGCCGCAGGTCCCGGGGGCTTCTCACCTCGCTTCAGAGCTTAGAAAGACGAGAGGAGAGCTCCCTCCGCCATCTCTGTGACTCCAGCAGCTGCATCTTACACAGGCAGGAGGGGACTTAGAGGGAAATAAGGGAAGGACGTTGCGGAGACATTTAGGGTGCAGAGGTAAAAGATAAACATGGAATAAATAGCTGGGAGGAAAGGTGGGCAGAGAGGAAGGAAGGAGTCCTTCAACTGGCTCCTTATGCTCCCAGGATGAGGACCAGACCTACCCAGCCTGGCTGGGCGTCACCGTGTACAGGGGAAAGCCCTCTGAGGGTAGCTTAGACGCTGTGCATTTTTGTCATACTCTCAAAGTTCTCGAACGTGAAAGGTGGTAATTTCATTCCTGGGAGGAAAAGTCACTCGTGAAATGTTTGCTCCCACGAATAGGCTGTGGGATTCATTTAGATGGTGGTACCTTGGGATGCTGAATACATATTCAAATTATCACCTAATGTTCGTAAAATGTCATTTATTGTCATATATGGTTACATTTTTATTATTTATGGAGGCACACAGTCTTAGCAGAATGAGGCAGGAATGGGACAGATGGCTTCATAATGTTCTGTATTTTTGCTTAAGTATTATTTATATTTAAAAAGGTGTTCTTTGACTTTCTTTCAGTTCTTAGGAATCAATGATTGGGTTAAACTATTTTTGAATATTCAGAATCTTAGAAGAAAGTTGTTAAAAGTTATGTGTACATAAAGACTTGGCTGTGACTCACATGGGAAGACCTGTAGTCACCCACCAATTCCCGATTTCTCAGACACTTAGAAGAAGGAATTAATTTCAGTCTCTTACTATGGTTCCCTATTAACGGGGTAGATCTGATCTAAGTCACAGATTTTTATTGATGATAAATGTTGAAATTTAAATGTGTGAAAGTCACAGTAATAAAATAGTGTTAGGTAACTTGGTTTCTGTAAGATGTAATCTTGTTCTAGCATGTTGATTGTGTCCCATCTGGACAGTATCTAGAGATGAAGATTGAAAGTATAAAGGGGTTGAATATCCTGTGACGAATTTTAAAATGGCTTAAGGGACTTGGTAACAAGAGTTTATACTTTATGTTCTTTTTACTTGATAATCAGTCATGAGTGTTTTTGAAGTTATAGGAATAGAATTACAGATTTGATGCAACTTCATTTATTTCTCAATCACTTTTATGGCTTTTTTCTTTTAAATTCTAACACAACAGTGACTTAGTAACACCTAATATGTTTAACTTGTAATCATATTTTCAAATTAGTTATATTGATTCTGTTTTTAGTTTTACACTTGAGTGTTCACATGGGTGAAATTCTTTTTAAATAAAAAAGTATACCTACCAAGTCTTCAGGAAGCTATTTGTTTATGAGTTTAGAACTATGTTTATTATAAAAAAAGAAAAAACACTGAGAAGTTCCAAAGTTTTCTTCTAACAGCAATATATCTTAAGATAATAAATTTCAAGATCCCTGGTCTGAAAAGAAAGGTGATTATTCCAAGGCATTGTGACAGTGAAAATTGTATTATTTATGTAAGTATTTTGCATGTAATTAGTTTTACTTTATTCTATATAACTCATGGTGCCCTTCCTTTTAATTGGTAGGTAGGTAGGTAGATATACAGCTTAAGTGATTTAGCCTGTCTTGCATCTAAGCAGTGGTAAATAAACTTAGTAGTGACTTGGTTTCTTCAGGTCAGCTGCCTCTCTCTCTCTCAGCCTCCTGTGTGCTACAGTTACAGGCATGTGTCACTACACCCCACTCCACCTCAGAATGTTATTGCCCTTAACCTCTTTTTTGGAAATTATTGAAGCCTTACTTTTGAGTCCTTTAAGAAGGTCCATTTATATTTTTAGCTTAAAAAGTAAACATCTAGAAGAAATTATAATCTAACTAATACTTTAGAAATAATAATAATAGCTACTCAGTTGAATAATAATTAAATTGAATAATTAATAATTTAGATTGAGTTTTATAATATTCCTTTCATAGTCCTTTACATATACCTTTATTTCAGTTATCTGCACTTTTAAATTATTTCCTTTTTATTTCTGTTTTTTATTTAGCTTTATATTCTCTAACTGACTACAAGCCCCACTGCCAGAGCACAGGTCCATTTTATAAGTCACAATAGAAACATGCATACATACATGTATATATATATATGTAGTAAGTATTCAATATATGTTTTTCAGAGTTATATATATATGTATACATATAGTGTTATGCTCATATGAATATACAGACACATTATAAAGATTTATATGCTTTATTTGAAAATTATGTGCACACAAAAAATTAGGGCTAGGAACTAATGTCATTTTAAGGATAACTTTAGCTTAGTTCTTTTAAAAATGATTGAATTTATACACCATTTTAATGTTTATTATCTTTCATCTCACAACCCTATTTACTGTCACATTCTTCTTGATGGTATTAAGTATCAGATTTTTAAATGAAAAACATTTTATTTAGGATTGACAAAAGTTTGGTTTCTATAGAAATCAACATTCACCATAATGAAGAATCAGTTGTTACTTATTAAAAATCGCTGAGATCATAAATTTTGCCATACAAATTACCAGAAGGATTGAGAAACTAAAAGATGGGGATTGACACAATCATTTTTATTTGAACATGAGCAAATGCAAGCGGGTAGAACTAAAACAAAACTGAGTCATTTGCTCTGACCTGGGCCGTGTTATTAATTGGCAGAGGAGAGCGAAATCCTTTTGTAAGCCTCAGTCTTCTAATCTACCTTTGAAAATCTCCTTATAGACCAGGATTTCAGAAATTGGTGGGAGGTAGAAGGGTTGTTAGGAATTTCCACCTTTGAAAATGTCTTGCCATTGCAAGTCTCTCTTTTAGGGTATGTACAAATATAGGTTTATTTTGAACATTCCATGTCATGGGTATCTATGTTAATTAGTTTACCTGCAACATTAATCTTCACATTCTATTTTACCTCTAAAGGGGACTTAACATGTACCTTATCTTTTTAAATCTTGTAGCATTATTTTTTAGCACGCTGAAAATGAATGAAAATGAAGATATTGATTCTAAAGAGAGTGGAGAATATGAAGATGACTTTGAAAAGGACCTGGAGTGGTTAATTAATGAAAAAGAAAAAAGTGATGCCAGCATAATAGAGGTAAATATAAATTACCAATGCCATTCATACTAGCAAAGTGCTCTGCAATTCTTAAAGATCTGAATGTTACATATTATCTCATCTAAACATATCTTACCTCATCAGAACTACACAAAATTCTTTTTATGTACATTGGACAAGTACATTATTCTCACCTTAGAGATAAGAAAATTGATTTAGAGAGTTTAAATATTGTATCCTAAAGCATGGGTTTATGAGAGAATGAGGATTAAGTTAGCACTTAATAGTGCTAAAATGATAGTTGTAAAATTAAAATCTGAATACTATAAGTAATAAAATCATTGTGTCCAAAATAAAAGCTAAATAAATAATAAAATCATGATTATTGTATCAAAAATAAAAAGAAGTTAATACTTGCTTTCTATGAACTTGAGTAAAATCATGAGGTTATGCTTTAAATATAAATGAAAAATAAAGCAAACCTTTGGAAAACATGGTCTTTTAGCTAATAGTTGAAACTTTAAGACTGAATTAGCTCTTTAGGAAAATGAATATAGAGAAAAAGTAAAGAGTCAAACTGAGCTATAAGATACTTTTAGGGAAAAAAATGGCCCATTAGAAAGGATCATATGTTATTTATCAGAGATGTAGAAGGGAAATCCAGGAAAATTAACCTGTTCTCTGTCTCTTTACATATATACAATGCATATGTGTATTTATATATGATATATGTGTTATATTAGTGTCAATAAAGGGGAAGTAATGAGGGAAATGACTGAGATAGGATATTGAATAAGTGACTTTAGAAGGATAATGATAAGAATAGTTACAGCAGTGGCCACGTTTAATGGAATTAGGGAAAAGAATATGGAAAAATGGAGATAGAAGGTTTGCTTAATTCCATCTTGCTTTCTTACTTGACGGAGGAAAAAAATGAGGTAGATGATATTTGAAAAAGGCAACAGAATCAAAAGTGAAGATTTTTTTCTAAGATCAAGTTTAAAAGGGAGTTGTATGCAACTTAATGAAAAATAATCAGATGAGTAGAGGTAGACATATCCAGTGGTAAGGCTGAAACAAGGCTTCATGACTGTAATGGTGTGAGGTCCAACGGACAGGGTGATAGATTTAGAGATAATTGTAATGATTCATAGTTTCAATTTTTTTGTTCACTTAGAAAATATAATTGATCACCTACCTTATGTCAGAGGCTATTATGGGGGATACAGCAGGGATCAAAACAAAGTACTTTCTTCTGTCTTACTAGTAGACAATTACAGATTACAATAACCTTTTCCTTTGAAGCTGGTGGGAAAAAGAAAAGGAAACTAGAGACAGTGAAGAGGGTCAGGGGAGATTTCTTTGTAAAGAGTGTGTTTTGAAAAGAAAAAAAGTGAAAGACAATAAGAATTCAAAGGAGAACAGGTACCATAAAAAATGAACCAGAATTAGTTAAGATCCAAAGGAAAACAAAAGAAACATTTGTAATATGTAGATCTCAGTTAAATCACTTTATGTGGTAGTCATTTTAATGGGCCACATTTACTTTCTTATCAGAAAATGTTTCGCAGGATAGGAAAAAGTGATCTTTGAGCAAATGAAAAACACAATTTTAAGGAGTTGATGGGAGAAGCACAAAGTAGTTTCACTAGAACTGCCTGAAGAGGGAGAGAATTGTGTGAGAAAGAGAAAATAATTGTATATTGTTGGAGTAAAGTGTTTAGTATGTGAAGCTGTATATACATGGGAAAGATGCTAGAAAAGAATCCTTTAGATGGAAACAGCAGCAGACCTGGAACAAGGTTTTGTGATGCCTATGGTTTGTATGAAATTACTATTTTTTAAATGCAAGGCTATAATAACATATATATTATAATATATATAATAATAATTTTTAAAATTATTATTTTTCAAATGTTGGTGGCTAGTATGGATTATTAGAGTCTCTGAGAATAGTTGAGGAAGAACAACTTGATCTAGAGGTAAAAATAGACTTGGAATTTGTGTATATGTCCTGCAGATGTTAGCAGCAATGGTTAGTCTGAAAAGATTAAAAGAACTTTATGATTAGGACACAACTAAAGGATTTTAATTCATCTTGTTATGTTCTGGGAAGAATGATGATGTTTTTTTGAAGGATACAAGTGTTACAAACAGAAAATGTTTTAGAAAATTCTTCTGAAAATGTAAACGAAGGAAAATGACATAGGGTGAAAGATATTAATATGCTTTGGGCTAGAGGCATGGTTCAAGTGGTAGAGCACTTGTCTAATAAGCACAAGGCCTCCAGTAATATATATAATGTGTATATGTATACATATGTAGTTACTTTTTGCTGCACTAGTAGAAAAAAATTTAAAAAATCAATGTAGCACTTAGCAGCATTGAATTCAGAGTTAGCATTTAATTTTCCCTGCACTGTTGCCATATGTATTGTCCTTTGGGTACTCATGAATATGTCTTAGAATGTCATGAGTGAAGTAAGAGTAAGAATCCTTAAATTTTCCTGTTCATAAACTACATGAATAAAAAAAGAATCATCCATTTTAAATTGTCTACAGAAGAAGTAATCTCAATTTTACAGAAAAATAATTACTTCATATCCTCATATCTTTTTTTAAAATGGCTTGCAAGAATGAAGAAGATATTAACCAAAAAATGAAAGAGAATGAAACAGAAACAGAACATACCCAACAGCTTTCAGATCCTGACATATCTTCAAAGGATGAAGTTTCACCAAGAAGAAATGACTTCATTTCTGTCCCAAGTATTCAACCTTTGGATCCTACATCAGACACAGATAGTGAAAACTCTTTCCAGGATTCCAAACTAGAAAGCCAGAGAGACTTGGAAGAAGAAGAGGATGAGGAAGTAAGAAGATATATTATGGAGAAAATTATCCAAGCTAACAAGCTTCTACAGAATCAAGAACCCGTGAATGATAAAAGGGAGCGAAAACTTAAATTCAAGGACAAATTAGTTGATCTGGAAGTTCCTCCACTTGAAGACAATGATACTAATAAAAATTATATTGAAAATGAAAATAACATGTCTGGAAAACTGTCTCAGTTAAGTATTTCCAATGAATTAGGGCAAGAAAATGTGATCCTGTCACTTCCTGATGGAAGCAGTGAAGAAAACAAGGATAGGAAGATACTGGTAGAGAGAGATGGGAAGTTTGAACTTCTAAATTTACAAGACATTGAAAGTCAGGGTTTTTTGTCCCCCATTGATAATGCTGATAGTACAGAAAGTGAACCTCAGCAGTTATCACTTAAAGCTCCTAATTCATCTGTCAATGGTATCAAGAAAGAAGAGCCTTCAATAAAGGTTCAAGCTGTTAATACCAACTCATCAGCAGGAGAGCCATTAGCTCATATCCCTCAAACACCACCCAACCCCAAGACTCGTCCATGCTCTGCTGCCCACTTAGATCGAAATAAAGGAAATGGGAAATTTAATCACCGGACACATTCTGCAAATATATCTCCAGTGACCTCAACATACTGTCTTTCCCCTCGACAGAAAGAACTCCAAAAACAGCTGGAACAAAAGAGAGAAAAGCTAAAGAGAGAGGTAAGAATGCAGTGGACATTATGTTGAGAGTATGTTTTCATGTTTTATAAATGCAACAAGAATTGAAATGGTTATGGTTATTCAAATGCATCAGAGATTTTTGTTTTCTTGCTTTGTTTTTCTCTTGTGAAATTGACTGATTAAGTGTTAAGAATGTGTATTCATGGAATAAACCCTGCCCGTGATTGCTTTGATCCTTTCTTATAAACATCACAAAGCGTAGTAGAATCATCTATTTGAATCAGAAGAGGTCTCAGTAATAACTTCATCTGATCCTTTCATTTTAAATGTTAAATCAGAGGAGTGACTACTGAAAGTAATCTTGATAGAAGATAGGTGAAAATCAAATGTCACATGGAAAAATGAAGGAACAAATTTGTTGGGGTTTAGTGGGCAAGAGGATTATAATTCTCTTATATGTGTGTGTGTGTGTGTGTGTGTGTATGTGATCTTCCATGCCTACAATTCCTTGATTATAGGGATTTTAGTTTCAGATTAAGAATGCAGCCAGCTGGGGGTGTAGCATAATGTTAACATTCTTACCTACCATGCACTGAGCCCTGGGTTCAAATCCCAGTACTAGGGTGGGAAGAATAGGATCTAATATAATGAGATGGAAATATGGAAATGCCATATGGACATGGACATATAACATGACCTAAAGCTGAACCTTATAAAATATCCAATAGTAAATACCAAATCTCAACAAAATCATAGCTTAATAAAATTTACAGTTAGAAAAGACCTTAAAGATCATTTTACACATAAGAAGATTATAGTCTAGGAAGTTTAAATAACTTTATCAGAGTTATTCAACCTTTTAGTAGCAAAGTAGAATCAAAATCCCATTCTTTGGCATCCATTGAATAGTGGTGTGTTTTCCATTTTATGTGTGAAATTATCAGGGATTTCTAGCATTTAAGTTCTAGGAATTCATGGGTTGGGGTGTGGCTCAAATGTAGAAGCACCTGCCTTGCAAATGCAAAGCCCCAAGTTCATACCTCAGTATCACAAAAAACCCTATATGTGTATAAATTAGGAATGCATGTGAGCAGAAAAGGTGAAAAATTAAGATATAAGAATGTATAACTTACACTCAGGCAGAAATGTGAAAGGGTATATGCTTATAGAGGTTTGCTTGCTTGGCCACAAAAGTCTGAACTCTTAGCACTCAAACCCAGTTTACCTGGTTCAGGTATAAAACAGTGCTTAAGAGTATCAGAAATTTATGACAACATAGAAAAATCTTTTGAGAATGACTGACTTATATGTTTGCTGTGCACAAACATATATTCTCTGTGTGTTTTTAAAATGTTATACTGGGGGGTTTTACCTCAATTTCAGTGTCTCATTAGTGAACTTATAGTAATTGTTAACTGGCATGCAAGTGTCTCTTCCAGATGTTATACACACTGTTCTGTGATATCCTTTTGTTGTGTCAGGATCCTAGCAAAATTTCCCTTAGCTCAAGCTCAGTGCTTAGGTTTTTAAACATATTTTAGTTGGGTTCAGGAGAAACTTTGCTTTTCTTATGCACAATATTTGCTGGGTTGGCTTCTATGCTCTGTCTTTCTAAGCATTTAGTACAGTGTTCTCTTTGCCAACTACATGAGTTGTGATTTGACTGATAACTTTCTTTGTAGTATACCTAAATGTTCCCTTAGGAGGCATAATCATTCAAGTACACTCTGTGTATTCAGGAAGGCATTCAATGTTCTTGTTACAGAAAATATATAAATAAGTATAAAATAGTCTTTAATGAATTTTATATAATGTAGGCAACTTTGGAGTTCAATAAATGGTATGTAGATATTTCCAATGATATTTTAGTAAAAGTTTAACAGAAGTATTCCTTTACTCCCTTTCTTTTGTCCAATCAAAAGAAATTAGGAGAGGTTGCTATATTGTCAAAATGTAAGAAAAGCACTTTAAGGCAGGGCATGGTGCCTCGAGGTTGTAATCCTAGGTACTCAGGAAGTGGAGATTGGAAGGATCATGGTTCAAGGTCAACTAGGACAAAAAGTTCTGCAGTACCCCGTCTCAACCAATAAAAAGCTGGACATGGCCTGTACCTGTCATCCCAATTATATGGAAAGCACAAATAGGAAGATCATGGTCGAGGCCAGTCTGGGCATAAAGTAAGACCCTATCTCCAAAATATCCAAAACAAAATGAATTGGGGCATGGCCCAAGTGGTACAGTGCTTGCTTAACAAGTGTGAGGACTGAATTCAATGCCTAGAACCACCAAAAAAAAAAAAAGAGAAAAAAAAGAAATGTACTTTTGAATTCCATTATTTGAAGAAAATTTAAGAATAGACTTGTATAATTCATTTAAATGATAAAATTTTTGAATGGAAAGAGCCTTAACAACTTGTTAATGTAACTCCATTTTTCTTTTATATATATGCATTTTATTAGTGTATATTAATTGTACAAAAAGAGTTACACTGTGGTGTTTCACATCTGCATATATTGTACGTTGATGAGATTACCCTCTTCTATTGCTCTCTTTTCCACCTCTTCTATTTTTCAACAGTTTTCAGTGAGTTCCTTTGTGCCACCTTCATACAGATACAATGTATTTCAGCATATTCCCCCTCATCATTCTCGTACCTCTCCTCCCTTTCCCTTGTCCCCCAAGCAGTCTGTCAATTATAGTCATGTTTTTGTATATATCTGTGTGTATATGTGTGTGTGTGTGTGTGTGTGTGTGTGTGTGTGTATCTAGACATACTTCAGGTCTAGAATCCAAATACGGGAGAGAACATGTGACCTTTGTCCTTCTGAATCTAGCTTACTTTGCTTAACAAGTTGATCTCCAGTTCCATCCATTTTCCTGCAAATGCCGTAATTTCATTCTTTATGTCTGAATAATGCTGCATTATAAATACCACATTTTCTTTATCCAGTCATGGGTTGAAGGGCATCTGGGCTGCTTCCAAAGCTTGGCTATTGTGAATAGTGCTGCAATAAACATGGGTATGTGTCTTTGTCCTGATGAAATATGCACAAGGGTGGTATCACTGGGTCATGAGATAGTTTTAGTTTTTTGAGGAATTTCCATACTGCTTTCCATAATCAGCTGGATAGCTGGCAAAGGTTTTTTTTTCCCATTCTGTAGACTGTCTTCATTCTAGTGACTATTTCCTTTGCTGTTTAGGAATGTTTTAGTCTGATACAACCTATTTGTTGATCCTTGCTCTTATTTACTGAGTCATTGGAGTCCTATTCCAGAAGTTGGTGACTATGACCATATCTTTCATTATTTTCCTGTAATAGTATCAAAGTTTCAGGTCTTACATTAAGGCCTTTGGTTCACTTTGAATTGATTTTAGTACAGTGTGAGAGACAGGGATCTAGTTTCAGTCTTCTAAATATTGATAGCCAGTTCTCCTGCCACCATTTGTTGAAGAGACTTTTTTTTCCCAACATGTGTTTTGGGTACCTTTGTCAAAAACCAGCTGGCTGTAACTGTATGGGCTTATTTCTGTTCCATTGGCCTGCATGTCTGATTTTATGCCAGCACCATGCTGTTTTTGTTTCTGTGGTTCTTGTAGTGTAGTTGGAAACCAGGTATTGTGACACCCCCAGTGCTGCTGCTTTTGCTGAGGATTGATATTACTTTCTTAGGTCTTTTGTGCTTCCATATGAACTTTAGGATTGAATTTTCTATTTCTCTGAAGAGTGATATTGAGATTTTGATGGGAGTTGCTTTGAATACAGCCAATTTCACAATGTTAATTCTACCAATTCGTGAATGTTAGGAGGTCTTCCATCTTCTGATGTCTTTGATTTCTTTCTTCAATGTTTTGTAGTTTTTGTCATAGAGGTCTTTTACATCCTTAGTTGAATTTATTCCCAGGTATTGTTTAGGGGTTATTGTGAATGGAATTGTTTTCCTGATTTTTTCTCTGCCTGTTTATTGATGGTGTTTAGAAAAGCTGCTGGGTTTTGAGTATTGATTTTGGATCCTGCTACTTTGTTGAAAGTGTTTATGAGATCTAAGTTTTTTGGTGAAGTTTTTAGGATTCTTTATGTGTGGGATCATATCATCTGCAAATAGGGATAATTTGACCTCTTCCTTCCCTATTTGAATCCCTTAATTTCTTTCTTTTACCTTATTGCTCCAGGTAGGAATTAGTACTATATTAAATAAGAATAGGGAAAGTAGATACTCTTGTCTTATTCCTTACTTTAGAGGAAGTGGTTTCAGTTTTTTCCTGTTTCGTATAATGTTGGCCATATGTTTGTTGGAACTCCATTTTATAGGTGATAATACTGAGGAAGAGGAAAGTGCCTTGCCCAAGTTGACACAGAATGATCATGGAAGGATTGCTACTCAGATCTACTGTCTTGGTGCTATTCACACTCCACTATGTGGCTTTGCTCCCAGTGTTATTTTATAGCTTAATGTAAATAATTCTTTATAAACTTAGCTGAATAATTCAAGTAAAATTCATTTTTCCTTAATAGTTAACCAAGCCTCTATTTTTCTGATAGCAAAAATATTAATTTATGAACACAAACTATCTGAAAAACATTTAAGCATTTTAACAAAAATTTTTAAGCACCTATAAAGGTGCAATTAACTCCTGTATTCCTATTATCCAGATTCAAATATTTGCTATTTCTCTTCATTATTGAATAAAGTATCTCCTTGCTTGCTTGTTTATTTAATTAATTTATGCATTTACTTTTCAATCTTAGAGATTAAATTCAGGGCCACCTTATTGCTCTGGATAGGCACACACTCTATCAAGCTGTATCCATAGCCTTGGCTAAAGTATTTTTAAACAAGACCTAAAGAGCATATCATATCTTGTTTAAATGTTTAAATATATCTCTAAGTGATCAAGGCATTTTCTTTCATAGCTGCAATACCATTTATCATAATTAACAAACATAATAATGATGTAAAAATACTCAAGAATTTATAGTGCTTCTAGAGCATGTAATTGTTTTTTCTTTTGCACATCTGCCATTTGATGAGTTTAATACCAAAATTAAACTATGGAATAGAAGAGAGACCCAAAGTTTCTTGAACAGCATAATACATTGATATAATTACAGATTTTATCTCTATAGGTTAACTTTTCTAAAAAGAATATCTTCTTTTTCCCCTTAAGCAAATTAGAGACCCTATCTTTATTGGTGTAAATTAATTGTAAAAGAGATTTCATTCTGTTATTTCCATATATTATACAATATACTTTGATCAAATTCACCCCTTTGATTATGCTCTCTTAGTCCTCCTTTTAAAAACAGTATTTGGTGGGTTTCATTATGTTATCTTCATCTGCCTTTTTCATATAATGTAGATACATATATGTATTATATATAGATAGATATGTATATATATAATGCAGTTCAATTATGTTCATCTCTCAGCACCCTATTCTTTTACCCTTCCCCTTTTGCTAGTTCTCCCCACCAAACAGTCCCCTTTCACACTTATGTTCCATCATCATCATTATTTTAGGTGTAGATTCAGCATGAGTGAAAACACAATTTGGCTTTTTGAGCTTTATTTAATCTCATTCAACATGACAATCTCTATTTGTATCCATTTTCCTGCAGATGGCATGATTTCATGTTTCTTAATAGTCAAATGATACTCCATCACATACATATACCATAAGTTCTTTGTCTGTTTATCATTTTTTGGGCATCAAATCTCATTCCATAACTTGGTTATTTCAAATAGTGCTGCTATAATCATGGGTGTGCGGGTGTCTATATTGTATGTTGACTTACGCTCCTTTAGATATATGTCAGGGTCATATGGTAGTTCTATTAAAGGTTGGTTCTTTAAAGGTTGGTAGAATATGGCAGTGACTCCATCTGGTCCTAGGCTCTTCTTTGTTGGAGGACTCTATTAATGCTTAAACCTCATTGCTTATTACAGATTTATGTATGTGGTTTATATCCTCTTGGTTCAATTTAGGTAGATCATATACATCTAGAAATTTACTATTTCTTCTATATTTTCTAGTTTATTAGAATAAGATTTTCAAGTATTCCCTAGTGATCCTCTGAATTCTTTAGTATTTGTTGATACTTTTATTCTCTAATTTTATTAATTTGGATCTTCTCTCTCTTTCTTTTGGTTAATATGCCTAAGGGTTACTACTTTGAGTTTGACTGTTCTTGTTTTTCTGAGGGTTTGAGGTTTATCCTTAGGTTATTTATTTAAGATATCTCTGATTTTTAATGTAGGCACTCATAGTTATAATAGACACATAACTATAAACTTAACTATAAACACTTCATTTGCTGTATCTCAAAGGTTCTGGTAAGTTGTATTTTCATTTTTATACAACTCTAGAATTATTTTATTTCCTCCTTATTTCTTTGATGACCCACTGGTCATTCAGTAATGTGTTCTTCATTCTCCATGTATTTTAATAGTTTATATATTTTCTCTATTATTGATTACTAGTTTTATTTCATTGGGGTCTGATAAAGTACAGGAGATTATTTCAATTTCTTATATTTGTTAAGACTTGCTTTATGTCCTAAAATACCTATTTTGGAGAAAGTTCCATGGACTGCTGAGAAGAATGGATATTATGCAGCTGTTGGGTGAAATATTCTACAGATGTCTCATAAGTTCATTTGGTCTACAGTGTCATTTAATACGAAGTTTCTTTATTGATTTTTTTGTCAAACCTATCTATTTGTGAGAGTAGAGTATTGAAGTCACACACTATTATTTTATTGGGTACTATCTGTGATTTTGTGTACTGTAGTGTTTGTTTTATGAAATTTGGTGTGGTGACATTTGTGCATACATGTTTACAATGGTTATCTTTTCTTGATGGATTGTTCCCTTTACCAATATGAAGTGACCTTGTCTCTTCTGACTAATTTTGGTTTCAAGTCTGCTTTGTCAGATATTAGTATAGCTACTCCTGCTTGTTTTGGGGCTCTCCTTGCTTAGAGTATCTTTTTCCATCCTTTCACTTTAAGCCTATGTCTGTTTTTGCCAGTGAGGTACATGTTTTATAGGCAACATGGTTGGGTCTTATATTTTAATCCATTCTACCAGTCTGTGTCTTTGGATTAGAAATTTAAGACCATTAACATTTAGACCATGATAAGTATGTAGTAGTTCCTGTCATTTTGTTGCTTTTGTGATGTTTGCTTCTTTCCTAATCCTTATTTGCTTATCTACTCATCTAGTGGGATTTACTTATTTTTATATTCTACTAGTAGCATTAATCTTCCTTCCCTGTGTGTAGGATTCCTTTAAGTATCTCCTGCAGTATTGGTTTAAGGGTCATGACTTTCTTTAATTTTCATTTATTATGGAATGTTTTATTTCTCCTTCAATTATGAAAGATAACTTTGCTAGGTATAATTATCTAGGTTGAGAATTATTTTCTTTCAGGGCTTGGAAAATTTCATTTTTTGCCCTCGTTTTTTGATTTCTATTGAGGAATCTTGTTATTCTGATGAGTTTACTTTTCTATGTGACTTACTGCTTCTCTCTTGCAAATTTTGATATTCTTTCTTTGTTCTGTATATTTATTTTTTAACTATAATATGCCTTGGAGAGTTTATTTTCTGATCTTGTCTGATGTCCTAAAAGCCTCTAAACCTGGATAAGTCCCTCTTTTTCAAGATTGGGGGAATTTTCTTCTGTTACTTTATTGAATATGTTATCTATGCCTTCTATACTCATGATTCATAGTTTTGGTGTTTCTGTGTTTCCCAAGAGGTCTTACATGTTCCATTTATACTTTTTTTTCTAATTTTTTGTCATTACATGAGTGTCCTAATTCCTCTACTTATCTTTAAGCCCTGATAGTCTATCCTCACTTTGTTTCATTCTATTAACCAGGCTTTCAACTGAGCTTTTTTATTTGAGTAATTGAGCTTTTCATATGCAAAATTTCAGTTCATCTTTTTCAGGATTTCTATATCTTTATTGAATTGTTCTTCCATATCCTTGTATTGCCTTTCTTATTTCATTCTGCTGTTTATTTGAATTCTCTTTGCATTCATTCATCTGTTTTTTTTTGTATTCTCTTTGAATTCATTCAGGTGTTTATACATGTCCACTTAATGTTGTTGATCATTCTTATCATTTTTTGAGTTCATTGTTTGAGATTTCACCACTTCAGTATCCTTTAAGTCCTTTATTTTGGAATTGTTGATTTTTGGAAGAGACATGTTGTCTGTTTTTCCATACTGGGATTTATTCATCTGAGGTCATATTTTTGGTTGGATGTTTTAATCCTGAAATCTCTGTCCTTTCATTGACATATTCACAATGTTTAGGCAAAACTGGGTATATTTTCTCACCACTGGACTGGGGGATGTATCTCAGTAGTCACACATTTGCCACCCTTGCTAATGATACTGAGTTTGACCTCCCACTCCATTCAGAAAGAAGAGTAGCTAAAGATTTAATCACAGTTGATTAAGAAAAACACACACATACCATGAGATTACAGCAATCTCTAAGGACAGTTATAACCACTGCTCCAATATCTTGAGAGGAATAAAAGAGCAAAGATAATACTTTGTGAACCAAGAAGACACTAGTTAATAAGGGTAATGAATAGTAAAGATGTATGCTGTAATAAGTATGTAAGGGGAGGTGGTTAAAGAGGGGATAATGAACAGAAGTAAGCAGATAGAGGAGGTCCAGCTAAAGATATAGTGAAATAGAAAGGACAAAAATGAAAAAAAAGCAACCTTGCAATCTAACAATATACCAAAAATTATGCAATAAAGAAAGATTATGAAAGAGAGAAAAGGGAAAGAATAAAAATGGGAGAGAGAACTAATCTAATCATGTACTAAAATAAAATAGAAATAGGGGAGGGTGGTAGGAGAGGAAGGGAGAAGAGGTGGTTAAAAATTGAATATTAAAAGGTAGGCGCTATGGCTCATATATAATGACTGTAACAAAAGAGAGAATAAAATTTCCCAAAGCATACTAACAATTAAAAAAGACAAATACAAAAAGTCTATATTTTCTTTGATGTTGGGACCAAACTTCCTCTACTTCCTAGAACAGCTTTTTTTTTTTTTTTTAAAGTCTGAATCAATTGTTTAGGCCAATAGGGGCTGCTTTCTGTTTTGGAGATTTAACTCATTGCAGACTGGCCAGTTAGTGCCGGTTAAGACTTTGAGCAGAGGACCTAACACAGGAAAATAGACTTAAAATTTTGTTTGCAAGTTCCTGTGCCAGATCCCAGTTGCTGGGCTGCTAACATCCCAGAGTCCACTTTCACTCCCTACTTGACCTTCCTGTTCTCCAAGTCTCCCAGGCCTCCGCAAATTCAAGGGCTACATTCTTCTCAACCAACACCATTCTCAAGTCAGTGATGCAGTGGTAGGTTCTGGGTTTGCTGACACTCTCCACTGATCAGACCTCTTAGGTACATGTGGGGCTAGTATCAGAGCTGGTCATCAAGGGTCTATCTTTTGACTTGTAGGGTTTTCGGTGACATGGTTGGCATGGTCTAGTTGATTAGAAGGTTCCCTTAGAAGATCCAGCCAGTCTGGCCTGGGGATCCTAGCTGCTGCAGTTATACTCACCCTTCTAATCACCTCCAGACCCCGGTACTCATTCTGTGCTGGCAGATTGGATGTTTGTGACAATGCTGGTGTAAACAAATCTACTGTTCCACGAGTTTTGTGAGAGTAGCTATTCAGTTTGTGTGTCTGTGAGGAGAGATCTCTGCTGGATGATTCTCAGCCAACATCTTGCTCTGCCCCAAGACCCTATTTTTTTTAAGGAGGAACAATTTTCAGATGGAAAATTTCAAGGGTAAAGGTTATAATTTCAGATCTCAAAATATGTCTGTTCTCACTCATCTGCAATTTCATTATTTTTTCATTAATGTATTTCCATATTCTTTCCACCAGGAAGAACAACGGAAAATAGAAGAAGAGAAAGAAAAGAAAAAAGAGAATGATCTGGTATTTAAAGCATGGTTGCAAAAGAAAAGAGAGCAGGTTATAGAAATGAGGAGAATTCAGCGAGCAAAGCAAATTGAATACATGAACAGTAGAGTAAGTAAAACTTCTCTTTAAAAGAGAACTTCATATAGATATGAAAGCTGCTCTTATTTATAAAAGGGAGGTCTGCATCTTAGACTGTGAACCTGTAGAAGTAGAAAATGATCCAAGGAATTACCCCTGCAAAAAAGTACAATAGGCAGTGACTTTGCAATTTCTAATAGCCCTGTAAAAATGAAATTATTCCCATATTATTCAAACTTTCTTAGCACAGAAAATAGAAAACTACTAATTCATCTTTTGAAAATAGTATAAATTTGATATTCAGATAGAACAGATAAACACCCACTTACCCTACATGTAAACCTATAGACTTTCTACTTTGAGTAGACACATAGAGAAATCTTATGTAAAAGCTAGCAAATTTAAGATGCCAATTTAATTTTTTAAAATTTAAAACATAAAGAAAAATGTAAGAGAAAGTAGCAGTCATCCATATCCTTATTATATATATAAAACATTCACTTCTCAGCTCTTCAAGCCTCATTTCCTAGTGAGAACCATTTTTAACAGCATGGTGTGAAACCATGTCTTATTTAATATTTACATAGCTATATGTCAAAAATACTGTTACATATTTTTTTTCTTCATCAGTGACATATTTCTAGGCCATCACATTTAGACCTTTCTTTTCTTTCCATATAGATCCATGGTATTCCACTGTTCATTTATTCAACCATTCCTCATTTGTGAATAGTTAGACAAATTATAATATTGTGCCATTAACCATGCCAAGAAACAATGTGAGCACACCTTGAGACAGGAAATAACCTGGTGAGAGTACGAAGATTTTGAAAAAGGACAGGAAGCAGATCATGTGGCACCTTGTAGCTCTACCATGGATTTTGTATTTTATCCTGTTGGGGAAGCCACTGAAATTAGTGACACAAAGTAGTAACACTTTGTACATGCATTTCTACAAGGTTACTTTGACTGCCATCTTGTGGATGAATTGGAGGGGGCCGGAGCAGATATGAAGAGAGTAATTAGAAATTAGATATAGTTGTCTTATGGTGACTTGAGTTAGAGTTATAGCAGAAGTGACAAAAACAGTTGTGATATGTTTTGAAGTATTAATTGAAGAAACTTGGCAATTTATTACCTAAAGCATGTGAGGGAGAAAGAGATGTAAAAAGAATACACCAGGTTTACTTTTGAGCAGTTTGGTGGCTGCTGTTGCCATTCCCTATAGCAGTAGATAAGATACTGGTTTGGGGAAGTTACCACTTCAGTTTTAAGTTGTTGAGATTAAAGTACCTACAAAACACACAGGTAAAGATATTGTAGATTAACTGGAGTAATTTGTGTAGTGATCAGGAAGAGGTTAAGAGTAGAGAGTGAATTGGGAAATTAGTGATTTGGAGTAGTTTTGGGGATTATTGATGTGTGGCCATAGGAGTGGGTAACGTGCAATGGAGAAAATTGTTTCCTTGTTGATTTTTTTTGTTTGAATGACCTATCTATTGTTGAGCGTGGGATATTAATGTCATCTATTGTTACTGTGTTGGAATCTATCTGTCCAATAGTGTTTCCTTTATGAAACTAGGTGCACCAACATTCTTTGTTTATATGTTTACAGTTGTTATAGCCTCTTGATATATTGTTCCATTTATTTATATGAAATGACTTTGTCTCTTCTGACTATTTTTTAAGTCTGTTTTTTTTTAGATATGAATATATTCTTGCTTACTTTTGGTATCCATTTGTTTGGAAAACTTTTTTCCCTCCTTTTACTTTAAGCTTGTGTTTTTCTTCAGTGAGGTGCATTTCTTGTAGGCAACAAATATTTGGGTCTTTTTTTAAATCCAGTCCTCTAGTCTGAGTCTTTTGATTGGATAATTGAGACCACTGACATTCAGAGTTATTATTAAAAGGTATGTTGTAATTTCTTCCCTTTTGTTTTGTAATGTTTGATCCTTTTCTACTCATTTTCTCATCCACCCATCTGGTGAGATGTATTTTTCCCATATTTTCATGGTTTATCTTCCTTTTCTATGTGCAGGATTTTTTTAATTATCTTCTACAGAGCTGGTTTAGTGGTCATGAATTGTTTTTGTTTAAAATGGAGAGTTTTTATTCTTCAGTTATGAAGTACTGCTTTTGTGGGTAGAACAATCTAGATTGGAAGTTATTTTCTTTTAGGGCTTGAAATATACCATTCAATACTTTGCTCTTACATGCACAATTCAATACCCTGCTCTTAAAGTTTCTGTTGAGAAACCTGCTATTATCTTGATGGGTTTACTTTTGTAGGTGAGTTGGCACTGCTGTCTTAGAGCTTTCAATGTTCTTTCCTTGTTCTGTGTGTCAAATGATTTAACTATAATATGACATGGGGCGGTTCTTTTCTGGTCTTGTCTGTTTGGAGTCCTAATGGCCTCCTGTAGATGATCATCTTTTTCTTAAGATTTGGGAAATTTCCTGTTACTATTTTATTGAATATGTTTCTTGTGCCTTTAGCTTACACCACTTCTCCTTTTTCCTATGCCCATGATTTGTAGGTTCAGTCTTTTAAAAGTATCCCAGAGGTTTTGCAAATTCAGGGCCTTGCTCTACTACTTGAGTCATGAGCCCAGCCCTTTTTGCTTCAGTTTATTTTTCAGGTAGTCTCACACTTTTGCCCAGGGTCAGCCTCTGATCATGATCCTCCTACATAGTATTTCTGCATAGTTTGGATTATAGTTATGCATCCACACTTGGCTTGGTTTATTTTTTTTTTCAAATAAGATGTCACTAACTTTTTTGCCCAAGCTGGTCTCCAACCATGATTACCCCTGTCTCCCACCTAGCTGGTATTACAGGCATGCACCTCTACACTTTGCCCCAAATGTTATAAATGTTAAAGTAGCATTGGTTTATTTTGGATGAAAAAGGAATGTAATGTGGGAGAAGTGTGAGGGAATGAAGGAAATATTACATTCTTTGCCTGACCTTTGAAGTGCTTGAAACACGGTGGAAAATGTATCTTTGACAGAAACTGTTCTTGGATACAAATCAGGGTTGCATAGGAGGCTCAAAGCTAGGGCCTTTTCACTGGCAGGGAGCAGGAAGGGTGTTTGGAGTTTTTATTTGACTGAATAGAATCACAGAGACAAAACAGTAAAGTTAATAAGAGAGGACAGGAATTCAGAATATGGTAAGGGTGTAACACAGCACAGTGCTGTAGTGGTTAGTGATTAAGGATATAAAAAATAAAAGGAGCTTGTATGTCAATCAGCGATAAAGGAAAACGCAGCTCTGACTGTATTGCTGATAGCTTCCTGGAAGAAAATGGGCCTTTAGGACTCATCAAATTCTGCCTACTATAATTTTTTATTAGGTGTTTGGTAAAATAAATGTATACTTTAGCATTCTTTTTTGTGCTCTCTTTGAAAACAGTAAATAGTAATTTGTATAACTCTGAAAACATGAGCCATAATGAACATAATTTGTATCAAAAAGTATTTATGTAATATGACATCATGGTTATATATTTTCCTTTGCAATTTCTATTTTTTTATGTTTTGGCACATTTCAATCTATCTTAACAAGTAATTTAAATGAGAAACTGTATCATAGACTAATATAATTAAGTTTTGGTAGCTGATTAATTTGGCTTATTAATACATTGTGATAATAAGTGCATTCTATTTACTATTTCTGTGGAACATTGTGTTTAATGTGAGTCATAGTTTACAGAAAATATCTTTGGTATATGTAAGTTGTGGAATGACCTATTTTACAGTTGATGAAAGAGAGATTTTTAGGTAGTGGAATTTCTATTGCCATTTTAGGAGAAGTACCTAAATATGTCTTTACCTGTGTGATCAAATTTGCTTCCCTTGTTCAATTATATATATATATAATTGTGTATATATATATATGGCATATGTATATACATGTGCAAATAAATGTATGTATAGTCCATCTAGGTGAATACACCATAGCACTTATATACCTTGTATACTCTGCATTTGATGTAAGATTGTAATAGTGTGAATATGATTGGGTTGGTTGATAGTGTTCTTAAAATCTTCTATATTCTTACTGTTCTCCATTTTTCAAATAGTTTTATTATAGTTTTAAAATACTATACATTAACAATATTAGAGGGTTTCATTGTGGTAATTCTAATACATGTAGATAGTGTTCTTAAAATAAGTTCATTCTGTTCTCCCTCATATGTGGACATTAGATCAAGGGCAAACACAACAAGGGGATTGGACTATGAGCACAAGATAAAAGCGAGAGCACACAAGGGAGGGGTGAGGATAGGTAAGACACCTAAAAAACTAGCTAGCATTTGTTGCCCTTAACGCAGAGAAACTAAAGCAGATACCTTAAAGCAACTGAGGCCAATAGGAAAAGGGGAACAGGTACTAGAGAAAAGGTTAGATCAAAAAGAATTAACCTAGAAGGTAACACCCATGCATAGGAAATCAATGTGAGTCAATGCCCTGTATAGCTATCCTTATCTCAACCAGCAAAAACCCTTGTTCCTTCCTATTATTGCTTATACTCTCTCTACAACAAAATTAGAAATAAGGGCAAAATAGTTTCTGCTGGGTATTGGGGGGGGAGAGGGAGGGGGCGGAGTGGGTGGTAAGGGAGGGGGTGGGGGCAGGGGGGAGAAATGACCCAAGCCTTGTATGCACATATGAATAATAAAAGAAAAAAAAATAAGTTCATTCTCTCCATTATTTCTCTTCCTTCCTCCCCTCTTTTTCAAATATAATGTGGTGGTTTTCATTATGTTGTGTTCACATTTATTATATGTATAGCATACTATGATCATCTTCACCCCTCAATGTCTTTTCCTTTTCCTGTTGATTCCCCATTCATGTCCCATCATTAATCATCATCATCATCCCCCACCACCATCATTATTTTAGGTCTAGGTTTTACAAATGAGTGAGAACATGCAATATGAATTACTGAGAAAGTGGTGTTAAAACTTCAGCTGTCATTGTACACTTATTTTTATTTTTCATAGTTTTTGAGCTTTGCTTCATGTA